GGAGACACATCAGGGTAAAATTTATGCAGAGTAGCCTTGCAGTAGTAGAAACGATGAATCACTTTATATTGAATTAATCTGAGTCTGCTGTTAATTGAGCATTCATGGATTAGAGAGAGAGATTTTTCCCATTGTTGTTTTGCTATTGTAGAATTCAGTTCTCTCTCCCACGCTTTTTTAATGCCCTCTGTTGATGTAGTTGGTAGAAGACAGTTGGAAAATTTTGAGATTAATTTTTTGCTTGTAGGCGGTAGATTCAAAGTTTCTAGCACTGGAAAGCTTACCTGCAGTGATTCAGTAGATGGCAGGTATTCCCTTATGAAATGTCTTAACTGCATATACTGGAAGAAACTAGATTGGGGTAAGTTATACTTTGCTCTCAAATCATTAAAGGAAACAAGTTTGCCCTCCCAGTGGATATCCTGTATACACTTAATTCCCTTGGAGTACCATTTGGAAAAGAAGTTGTTGATTGTCGATGGAATAAAAGCGTGGTTATGACACAAGGGTGTATACACTGAGATATTAGGGATATTGCATATTTTTTTAACTTGACCTAGTATTCTGATTGAATTTCTTACTACCATACTGTGGCTTATTGAGAGACTGTTTTCAAAGCAATATCTGGAACCACCATCGACTGATGAAGTTTGGTATTTTACTGAAGATTGTTGACAAGTTTTATGAAAGATCTGAACATGTTTTATGAGTTTTCTGAGTTTTTGAAGTATTCCGAGTTCTGAGTTTTTTGAAGTACCGAGTTTAAGTATTGAGTTATGATGTTATGTTGCTGTTTATCGATCCTGATGGTCACACGTGAATGTATGACCAGAGGGGGGAATATGAGATTTCATAACACTTTGAAGCAACTTTTGTTAAAGTTAAACTCATCATTCTATCAATGTGCAGAAGCCAGTACTTTTCCCTTGTTTTGTCTATCTGAAGGCCAAGCTACAAGCACACCGTGGAAGCTGCTGATTGGAGGTCTCCATGCCTCTGCTCTGTATAATACACTTGCATTCTATTGTATCTGTGCTTGTGTACTTTGTTCGTGCTGTCTCTACCATCGACAATAAAACATGTCTTCTGTCTGAATTAATGACACGATCCCAGACTATGTCATCTTCTTCAAGTATGAGGGTCAAGTCGCAGTGCAGTGCACCCAGGTTCATAGAAAGAGGTAGACCAGAGATAGAGGGAGACCGGAGATAGAGGGAGACCGGAGATAGAGGGAGACCGGAGATAGAGGGAGACCGGAGATAGAGGGAGACCGGAGAGAGAGGGAGACCGGAGAGAGAGGGAGACCGGAGAGAGGAGAGAGAGGGAGACCGGAGAGAGAGGGAGACCGGAGGGAGACTGGCGAGAGACCGGCAAGAGACAGACCAGCACTTGAAGGGGTAGTATTGTGGTGTAAACCTAAAGCTGCACTAACTGACTTTGGGATTTTGAAGCCGCGGACTCGCTGGCCTCTCTCATTCTGTTCCCCTCCCCGCACCCACGAAGCTATCGCCCCCCACACACACTCACTGTTGGGACGGAGCTAGCGTCTCCCAATATGGATAATACATGGACTTGGATTTTCACATGGATGGCGTGACAATAGAACGATAGAACCGGGAAGCGTGGAAGAACGGGACTTTCTTTTAGATGGCTGTTCCGCTTGTTGTGCTAACTCAGCCGTCTATGCTAACGAACCTGTAGATTTCTCACGAAAGTGGGGGCCAGTGGTACGCTGTGATTGGTCACAATCTGCGACCCGAAACACATCTCTTCCTTGTTTCATCAAAACTCGATCTAAAATATAATGTCACGCCAGCACAAATCTGCTAATTTTTCTTCAAAAGGACGTATATCCCTGTGCACTACATGGACATGGATAGCATTTTCGTAACGAATACAAAAATAAAGTCAGTTAGTGCAGCTTTAAGTTAATCTAATTAACATGCTTCCTATTGCTGTTGTCCATTTCAATGAGCTGAATTTGTACAATGGATTTGACTCTGTGTGATCAATACATGTGTTACATATGTGCATTGATTGTTCATAGTCTCATTGTACAGTCATGTAAAAATCCATTGGTTTACTTTTCATTCAGTCATGTTACCTTGCCCTTTAGTATTGCTAATTCTCAACCAGAGAGAGGGAGGGGGAGAGACCAGAGGGAGAGGGAGAGACCAGAGGGAGTGAGAGACCAGAGGAGAGGGAGAGACCAGAGGAGAGGGAGAGGGAGAGACCAGAGGGAGAGGGAGAGACTAGAAGGAGAGGGAGAGACCGGAGGGAGAGGGAGAGACCAGAGGTAAGGGGAGAGACCAGTGGGAGAGGGAGAGGGAAATACCAGTGGGAGAGGGAGAGACCGGAGGGAGAGGGATAGACCGGAGGAAGAGGGAGAGACCAGAGGGAGAGAAAGACCAGAGGGAGAGGGAGAAACCAGAGAGGGAGAGTGTGTGTGCGTGTGTGCACGCCGTGGACACAAGTACACACAAGTTGTGAGTGCAAATGTGCGACACCTGATGCAAATTAGCCCATGGTTAACATGCAGAGACTGGAGCAGAGACTGGAGCAGAGACTGGAGCAGAGACTGGAGCAGAGACTGGCGAGCACTTCTAAACCAGGTCTCAAAATCCCATAAAACACTTATCTTTGAACATCTCCAATTACAACCAATCAAAAACGTCATTGCATAAATATAAGATCCCTGTGAGTCACAATTAAACTCTTTGGGCTGAGAGCAGATTGGCCGAGTGAGGCTTATCATCTCTTTTTAACTCTTCTGTCTGAAAAAAGCTGATCTAAAATCTGTGACAGATGCCAAAAACACATGATACACACAAACTAGTGCTAGAAGCAAACAGTTTTAGCGTACAACATGAAATTCAGGTACCCCAGCTTTAATTTAAAACAATACAGGGGTGTTGTTGAGTGTTGAACTTTCCCTCCCTCTGCTTCACTTGTCTCTTGTTTTAAACGGTCGTGCCACATTCCGCTGCTTAATCCTCTCAAACTGGGCCACACCTCGCACCATTACAAACATGTGGCAGTGTTTTCACAAAGAAGGATTCCAGATTAACCCCCAGAACCTCAGAACTCCCGGGCTTTGATGAACAACCCGCCGCCAAAGACCAGCCCCACGACCAGCCCCACGACCGCCGATGTTAGCCGACATTAGCCACGGGTCACAGAGCAAGAATCTCAGCTGCGTTTATACATGTGGAAGGGAAGACATCTGATTGGAATTGATATTACAACCACACGACAGCATCAAATATACACTCAGGTGATTTAAAGCTAGCGTCTGGTCTGGTCTGGCTGTAGGCCTGGTCTTGGTCCAATTCTGGTCTTGCTGTAGATCTGATCTTGGTCCAATTCTGGTCTGGCTGTAGGTTTGGTCTTGGTACTGTTCTGGTCCAGCTGTAGGTCTGGTCTTGGTCGAATTCTGGTCCACCTGTAGGCCTGGTCTTGGTCCAATTCGGGTCCAGCTGTCGGCCTGGTCTTGGTCCAATTAGGGTCCAGCGGTAGGCCTGGTCTAGGTCCTGTTCTGGTCCACTGTAGGCCTTGTCTTGGTCCAATTCTGGTCCCGCTGTACAGTAGGCTTGGTCTTGGTCTAATTCTGGTCCATCTGTAATCCTGGTCTTGGTCGTGTTCTGGTCCAGCTGTAGGCCTGGTCTTGGTACAATTCTGGTCATACTGTAGGCCTGGTCTTGGTCCAATTCTGGACCAGCTGTAGGCCTGGACTTGGTCCAATTCTGGTCCAGCTGTAGGTCTGGTCTTTAGTCTGGCCTAGTTCCTCTTCCCTAGGACTTTGAGCTAGTGGGTTGGCATTGTCCTTGTTTATCCGTATATTTATTTTAATGAATTCAAAACAGATATAAAATAATATCTAAATAATACATTAAATAAAGGTAAAGAAAAGGTGAAGTATTTGTCAGAACAAAAAGCTTTTTTATTTAAAACCAGTGCAATTTGGCTTCATATTTTGACTTTGACATTTTTGGTTAAGAACAAACACATCAATCATGTCAAAATGCAACTGGATTCTCTCCATCACCGCGTCCCGCTCTGATGCTAAAATTACTCCGAGGTCAACGCTCTATTGACAAACTTTTGACAGATCTGGGTCTTGTGTTTCCAATAACTTTCACAAAATCTTGCTTTTTTTTTTTTTTTACAAATGATCTATGATCTATGATGATGATCTAGCAGAGACTGAAGCAGAGACTGAAGCAGAGACTGAAGCAGAGACTGAAACATAGGTTTTTCTATTAAGATAAAGACAGCATGTGGTTTGTTTAGTTCACATTTTACTTCTCGTCTCTCTCTTGGGCACTCGTCGGTTGAGTTTTGTACATCCTAAATCTATTGCATACTGTCCAGGTGTGTGGATGCATGACCTACTTTTGGAATAAATTACTTTCTTTTTGTGTCTATTTTAAGTTATCATATTTGCTGATGCCTAGCAACAAGCCCTGATCTCACACATGTCAGAAGTTGGTATTTGTGTGTAGTTTTACGTCCCGTTTATCAAATATTCATATTATTTTCTAAATTCACTGTGTTTTTGCAGCATCGTCACAAGAGAAGCTTGGATCACAGCTTTCTCTTCTTCAATAATTAATGAAAGCGATTTATAAGGTCAAACGCACAGGAGACTCCTACCTGGATTCATCTGACTGCTGCTTTTGCTGCTGCTTTCACTGCTAATACCGCTACTGCTTATTCTCTACTGCTACTGCTACTTCTACTAATACTGCTGATTCTCTACTGCTATTTATATTACTCTGCTACAACGACTACTGCTACTACTAATTCTACTTCTTCTACTACTGTTACTACGACTACTATCACTGCTACTATTACCACTATTACTACTGCTGCTATTACTAAAACTACTACTACTACTAAAGTTAGGACTACTACTACTTCTGCTACTACTACTGATACTACTGGCTGTGAAATATATTTGCCGTCCTGTTTGCTTTTGTCCGTTCTTTCTTAACAAAGGAATGCTGCAGAATGCTGTGTTGTGGTGGGCGGCAGATAGAGAGATAGAGATCCATGATTCAAACGTGTGGGAGGAAGAAACCAGGTGAAAACTACCGACAAACGGACACAAGACAGAGCAGCATCAAAAAGCAGCGATCTGACCCATTGTGCCTGTGTGTTTGGGTACAAGCTGCTGGAACTGACTTACTTTTCCCCATGGATAATAAGTTGTTTTTTTATAACTAAGATCAAACCTCAACATTCTGTCTTCGTCCTATTTGAAAACATGTTATATTTTGTGTAAGAGTCCTGGGAGTCAATATTGGGGAATTTGGGCTGATGTTTCTGCCTGCAAAGATGATGTGTATGTTGGTGGAGCTGAAGTTTGCTGGATGACATAGTAGTGAATAGTAGCTCTGTGTTAGAATGGTCCGTTGATAAGTTTTTAGTTCAATAGTCATCAATAGTCAATAGTGCAGTGGAATTCAATACAAGCAGTGATTACTTCAGACTGGAGACCAAGAGCGGGAGACCAAGAGCGGGAGACCAAGAGCGGGAGACCAAGAGCGGGAGACCAAGAGCGGCAGACCAAGAGCGGCAGACCAAGAGCGGCAGACCAAGAGCGGCAGACCAAGAGCGGCAGAACAAGAGCGGCAGACCAAGAGCGGCAGACCAAGAGCGGCAGACCAAGAGCGGCAGACCAAGAGCGGGAGACCAAGAGCGGGAGACCAAGAGCGGGAGACCAAGAGCGGGAGACCAAGAGCGAAAACTGAAAAAGTATTTATAGTAGACCAGACTCTGACCAAGGCCAAGAACTAGTCCAAAATCAAAGCTGGACCAAGACCAAAGCATTAAGAAATTCACCCCTCTCTCCAATCAAACACCTGGTACAATATTATCTTTTCATCTTTGAAACCACTTAAGTTATGAAACAAGCGTTTAATATATTTTGTGAGAGAAGAAAAGTTTAAAATGGCGAAAGACTCCAACACTTTTGTGGTGAAGTGTCTTTGGAGATTCGGTGAGCTCATTAGAACAAGCCAATTACGGATGGCTCGTTATAAGTGAGGGGCCCTGGAGACATGGGACTGTGTCAAGATGTTTTTGTACTGAGAGGTTGGGGAAGGTGAGCGAGCGCAGGGACACGGTGGATAAATATGGAATCTAAATGTTTAAAAATGCAACAGCGGATCATCCAGACCAGGGTTCACCAACCTGTGTAAAGCTGAGGGCAACCTTAAAGAAGCTATACCCGATTTTTTTTTTATGAGTTCATAAAAATGCTTATTACTACATGTTGTAGTACCACAAGTTGTATTATAATCCATTATTTAAGTGAAAACTTGAGCTCATTAATTCAGCTTGTGTATGAATTCACGCCGTAAAAAGTGCTGAGTAGAGACTTAGCGTGACGCTCGTTCTCCTCCACTCACAGAACGAGGAGCGAACAAGCTGCGTCCTCTTGCCTCTACAGTGCTGCTAAACACAGTAACATGTTAGCAGAATTGGCTGTAACTGAATACACAGCAAAACAGCCCAAATGACACAACAGTGAGAAAGAGAAGAGGGAACTAAAGCAAAAAAAAGATCAAAGAAGAAATCAAGCCCGGCTGAACATAGCTAGCTTACATTGTATCCTCTGGAGAGAGACCTGCGGGAGCGGACCGCCTCGGACTATCTATGCTACATTTGGACGCGAAACTACGGGTAATCTTTCAGTTATACATTTTGTTAGCACTGCGTTGCTTTTGTTCCATTTCATCAGTGATTGTTGTACATCTTACAAGAACTTGCGTTCATGCGAATGTTTGCATATAGATCACATATAATTAAAACTAGTGCCATGTCCATACTTAGCCAAGTATTTTTTAAACTGAATATTCCCCCCTCTGTTTATAAAATAATTTGCGTCGACACATTTTAATTCACATTCATAACATTCCAAACATGTGCGTCCTCTGAAGTGGGTGGAGCTTTGATGCTGACGCTGGTACTTCTGTAGCGGCACTTTTACAGTCACAGAAGAAACTCAGGGTAAAGACATGTTTACAAGCACTGAACCCGTCCTCAGCCCTGGGTTAATCCTGATTTAGCTCCTGTTTTGGTTGTTTTCGAGCGTGAGTCCCCGTGATCACTTTGCTGCTCTCTGATGTGGAGCGAGCATGGATCTTACTGCCTTAAAAAACTGTTCGCTGCTGTGCAGCATCGAACAGTTTCTTAAGGCAGTAAGATCCATGCTTCTTCAGAGGTCGCATGTTTTGTTTGTTGTTGTTTTGGGAGCATACTGTGACGTGCAAAAAAGCAAAACTCGGGTTATCTCTGTCTAAATGCAAATGCATAAACAGAGTTTTCAAAAATCTCCTCTTTGCCCGGAGGTTTTTTATATATTCGTTTATGATGCGTTGTCATGTGGATGACGGGTGCAAACAATGAAAAAAATCTGTGGTTTAGCAGATACCGGCTACGTGTGGACGGGGTCTAGATGGCTCCGTGGGATGAGAGCGTAGAGGAAATGAGAGACCTTTGAGCGAGTTGAGGGGCGGTGCTAAACATTCAAACCTTGCAGATACAGATATAGCTCCTTAAGGGTACCAGATGGGCTCAAGAACTATTATATATGGATACATTGAAATTGAATGCACACAGGTAAAGCCAACAAAGAAGAATTATCAGTATCTGAAGATGGCTTTAAAAGTTTTCTTCATTCATTCTTGGCTTGGTGCTGGTTTGGTTCTGGTTTGGCCCTGGTTTGGTCCTGGTTTGGTCCTAGTTTTATCCTGGTTCACCCCTGGCTCAGAACGGTCTCAGTCCTGGTTCATTGCAGCTTTCATAAATGTTCATAATACTCACTTCTATCCACAGCAAACAACAGCGGACTGCCGCTAACTTTAGCTAACCGATGTTAGCCGATGCCAACCGCCTCTACCCGTGCACTTATTTTCTGCACGTCTCCCTGTTTCCATCTCATTCTGGAACCAGACTCTCGCAGATCTCTGTGATTATTAAACTGTCATAAACACCCGACACTGTGCGCTTATCTGAGCGCAGAAAAACAACACTGAACCAACAGCCAAACAGGCGACCAGTGCTAATTTTAGAATATGCTTTGCAGGCACCATAAGTGGTCCCTGTGGGAAACCATGCTCCCATGGGTACCACGTTGGTGACCCCTGATATAGACCACTAAATATGTATGAATGGTATATACACAATTTTTTACCCATGAAATTTGACAATTTATTCAGTATGAAAGTTACGGTGAAACTGAGAGGTATGCTTTCTGCCCATAACTCTCTTTGTTGCTTCTAGGGGGAGGAGGAGAATTTGTTTTGTCTTTTCCCAAATTTGAACATGGGATTGCAAATAACCTCATTTCGCTTCAGAAAGGATCAAAAATAGATATGGGGCAATACTTTTGTTTTAAACAACAAAGAAAACAGCTTTGAGTGTGATGTCAAAAAGGTACAATGACATCATACTATTCCAGGAGCATATAGACAGAAGGGACGGAGTTACACGTTTGTGGCTGTTCCTGATAATCGCATGGATGGATCTAAACACAACTCCAGGTCTATGTCAGATGAGGAGCAATGTTGTTATGGTTAAAAGCTCAAAAACTGTGCACATGTTGTCTTTAAAAGTCTTTCTTTTTTATTTGATTACCTTAAATCACGAGTTTAATCATTTAAATCAATCCAGCTCTTTACAGATTATGAAATGTAAACCCAGCGCTGTGAGTCAGGGTTTTATGAGATTGAATGATTTGTGGACATTGCTGCCATTCCACCGAGGTTGCAAGTTCAGCACATGTAAAAGTGAGATCGCCGAGACCTGGGGTTATGAAAGATTGAATTTTTGTTTAGACCTGATTTTATCGAAGTATCAAACGTGTTCAATATAAACCTGGTTTATACATTTTGAGCCAATGCCAAATGATTCTATTCTTCTTGTTGGTTCAAAAATATGGTCTCTCTAATTGAATATACAATTTGAATTTGAATATATATATATATAATATATATAAAATAAATAAATACAATTTAATTTTCTTTGGTTTATAGTCATAGTATTTACAATTTTAATCCAATGTTTAACCTTAGCCAAAGCATAGACCAAGCCATAAGTAATTCTTTACCTGCTCGTTCCCTTTCTTGCTATGACATAGAACAGTAGCTGAAATCTTTATAAATTCCATACTTCTGCCGTTGCTACCACTGCTTATATTTGGCTTGTTTTGGTCCCGCTGTTCTTCTTTCATCACCTCTGAAGTCCTCGCAGAGTTGTATTCGCAGGAGGCTAGGTCCTCTGGAGAAAAACAGACTAAACAAGTCCCAACCAGGCTGCACCACATTCATACCAGTTACGTAATGGGCATCAAAATCTCGGCACCTTGGATCTGGTAGATTTCTGGTCCATTCTAAGACAAGAATATATTTTAAACCGTTCTATTGTCACTTAAGTAGCCTTTTGCTTCTTAAGCAGTTTTTATTCCAATAATCTCCTGTTTTTTTGCTCTATCCACTTTCCCATCCATTCTTACACTCTTCACTGTTGCTACTGAATGAAAAATTGCTCCACAACATGCTGCTACCACCCCCATATCAGACGCTGGTGGAGATAAGGACTGTTTGTCCTCCATCACATATAACATTTTGCATTTTTGCCATAAAGTTACATTCTGGTCTCATCTGACCACAGCATGTTCTTCCACAACTTCTTCTCTTCTCTCTCTATGGTCTCCCTCTCTGGTCTCTCCCTCTTGTCTCTCTCTCTCTCTGATCTCTCTCTGGTCTCTCTCTGATCTCTCCCTCTTGTCTCTCTCTCACTGATCTCTCTCTGCTCCCTCAGGTCTCTCTCTCTCTGGTCTCTCCCTCTGGTCTCTCAGTTTCTCTCTTTATGATCTCTCTCTGCTCCCTCTGGTCTCTCCCTCTTGTCTCTCTAGTTTCTCGCTCTCTCTCTGGTCTCTCTCTCTCACTGATCTTTCTCTGGTCTCTCTCTCAAGTCTCTCTCTGGTTTCTCCCTCTTATCTCTCTCTCACTGATCTCTCTCTGCTCCCTCTGGTGTCTCTCTCTCTGGTCTCTCTCTAGTTTCTCTCTTTATGATCTCTCTCTCTGGTCTCTCCCTCTTGTCTCTCTCTAGTTTCTCTTTCTCTCTCTGGTCCCTCTCTGCTCTCTCTCTGGTCTCCGCAGCTTTATTTCAGCACTGGCTTTTCATTAACACAAATCCAACCTCTATTTACAAGTGGTAGAGTATGACTTGTCCCATGTCCAGATTCCCCCAGGTGAGCTGTGGATCTCTGCTGCAAGAGAGAAAGAGATGTAAAAAATCAGAAGTAATTATTAATTTGCAACAGTTAATTACGTCATAGCAATAAACAGCATTTAAGAACATTCTGTGCTTTTAAATTAACAATGATATTAGCTGGTTCCCATGAGTCTTTGGACACAAGTGAGCTCATTGTTGCAGAGAAATGGGAGCAGCTCTCTCACTTCAGAGACAGTAATTTATCTAAAACAAGTCTGGACATTGAAAACCGGCTTGACTTTGTAACCAGCCTTTGCCAAACTCTGGGTGTGGCCAATGTTTGGGCAAGTTTTTTGGGCTAGTCTTTTAGTATACGCAAGGTTAAAACATATTCTAAAACTGCTCAAAAATAGCTCATTTTGTCCTGTGTATTGTAGTTTTAGCATTGATTATTTGGTCTCTCTCTCTCTGGTCTCTCTCTCAGGTTTCTCTCTTGTTTTTCCTCTCTCTCTGATCTCTCTTGTTTCAGGTCTCTCATTCTCT